CGATTTCCTGAATCTGGGCTGGCCTTATAACTTGCTTTGAGCAACACAATGTGGTGTAAGTGATAACTGTGCAATTTCTGAACCTAGACCTCAAGTGCAGGTGGCCTTGCAGCTTCTGCTGTAGCACTGGGAACACCTCTGCCACCATGTGAACAAGAATGAGCTAGCCCAGGGGTCGGCAAACTGCGGCTCGCAAGCCACATGCGGCTCTTTGGGTACGTACATGCGGCTCTGAAGTAAAATTGAAAATGAAAATAAAACTATCATAGTTTCATTTATAAAAATTTTAAAGGATATTATTCACATAATGGTGATTTCATTTGTTTTATAGGTCTCGCAAAACTTCGAGGGACAGGATTAGCTCTTTCACCTCAAAAGTTTGCCGACCCCTGAGCTAGCCTACTGGGGATTGAGAAAACACATGGAGAGAGGCCCCAGTCAACCCTCAAATTCCAGGTAAAGCTCCCGATGCGTGATTGAAGCCATCCTAGACCACTCAGCTGCAGCCCAGGAGGTCCAGATGAATCACAGGTTTGTAAGAAATAATAAATGTGGCTTTAAACCACTACTTTTTGGGGTCATTTGTTGTACAATAAAAGCTAATTGATACACCATTCACTCATTGTTTAGACAGTTTTTAAAGCATATTCATAATTACCCTTTTGTCTGAGTTTTCATCCACTCCCTGATCCTCTTAGACTGTAAACTCAAAAAAACATTTCTCTCCAAACAAGCTCTTATGTTTCCTACTAGAAAAGCAAAACTACAAAACCCATTTTGTGTGTGTGTGTGTGTGTGTGTGTGTGTGTGTGTGTGTGTGTGTGATCTGTTGTTAGGCAGTTTAGGGCCAAATGTAGTGTTCATTTTCTGGAAGTATCCTGATCAAATTCTTAAGTTCCTGGTAAAATTATCTTCACCTTATACCTGGTTTCTAATCTTCCTTTTAATCTTTATTTTAATTATGCTCTATTGTATACATATATCTATGGTAGCCACTTGGAATCTTTTTTTAAAATAGTCATAGTAAAAATTATGAATAATAGCCTCCTACATAAACTCAAGCTTTCAGCCCCTCATCAAGTCTTCATTCCTTTCATACATTTATCTTCTAGGAATGTGATGACAAAGCTCTGCTTCAGGGCCTTTTTCTGATCCAGAGCCAGATGGCAGCCAAGAGAAGGAGCAGCTTGGGTGAGTGCATCCCATTAGATCACCTAGGTGGGTGTGGGGTGAAGGCTTGCCGACCTAAAGGGCTATGCCCATAACTGGAATTAGCCTCTCCCTAGAGTAGTTATGGGATGGGCAATAGCATCTGGAAGCCTTCATTCACATGCTTCCTCTGATGTTTACTAACTCACGTCACTTAATTTTTCCATCTACTTCAAGAGAATGGTTATAGTACACGCACCTGGCACACTCAATAAATTTTACCTTTTTACTATTTAGCCTGTTATATTTTTCTCCTTCCCCATAGCCCTGGCCCCTGGAACTCATACCTCCCTGGGTTCCTGGCCCCCAAACCCTCTGGCTTCTACCACTGAGATATGGGGCACTTGCTATCCTGCTCCAGCTGTTTCTTCTTCAATGTTGACAACATCCTAGGCTGCCCGGTTGGCCATGTGGTCCACATGATGGGGGCTCCATGCTACGGCAGTGGAAGGAGTATCTGCAAAACACTGTGCCCTGTGAGTGGTCGTGACAGGAGAGGGTAGGACACTTGAAACCTCATGAAGGAAGAGGTGAACAGGGCAGGCTTTGAAAAACACCCCTTTGCTTGCAAAGTGGACTGGATGTTGCAACTTCTCAGAGTATGGGCTTGGACAGACACCTAAGTCCTGGACAAGGAGTCAGAGCTGGGTCACAGATTATAGAAAACTAGATCAGAACAGCATGTACGAGGTCTGACAATTAAGTTTGTGAACTTGTTGAAATGATGTTGCTAACCTTTCTTTATATGAAAGAGTATTCATTATGATTTTGTACCAACTGGATAAAGTTAATTAAGTTTACTATTTGGAAATGCTAAAAGGCTGCGTCAAAACGTTAGACGGCCTGAACTTTTCGCCAACAATTCACAGTTCTTGCATCACAACAATGCACCAGCTTACATGGCACTGTCTGTGAGGGAGTTTTAAGCCAGTAAACAAACAACTGTATTTGGACACCCTCCCTACTCAACCTGATCTGGCCCCCAATGACTTCTTTCTTTACCCGAAGGTAAAGGTAATATTGAAAGGAAGACATTTAGACGATATTCAGGATATCAAGGGTAATACAATGACAGCTCTGATGGCCATTCCAGAAAAAGAGTTCCACAATTGCTTTGAAGGGTGGACTAGGCGCTGGCGTTGGTGCATAACTTCCCAAGGGGAGTACTTCAAAGGTGACCATAGTGATATTCAGCAATGAGGTATGCAGCACTTTTTCTAGAATGAGTTCGCGAACTTAATTGTCCAACCTCATATTTATTTCATGGCATTTATAGACGAAACACTGAGCTCTGGAGCATTCAGAGAAGTATCTTGCATAGTTTCTGCTCTCAAGGGGCACCATGAAGAGAGGATATTTCTCAAAAAAATGACCAACACCAGGCATTATTTAATGCTAAGAGAATAATACAGAGAATTCATTACAAGAATTTAAAGTTGGGTTAGAAAAATCAGGGTAGGTTTTCTGTAAGTGATGAGCTGAGCTGAGCCTGGATGGTTAGGATGGTGGAGAAAAGAGAAGACAGCAGGGGGAGAATAGGATCAAAGGCCTGGAGGAGAGAAGGAAGATGTGGGCTTATCTGGAAGGCAGCAGGCAGTCCAGTCAAACTGGATCAGACTTCAACTTGAAAAGGACTAGGAGAGGAAGTTTGGGTTATTCTGCAGGCAATGTGAAGCCACTGAATATTTGTGAGTAGAGGAATCTAATCATATAGGTCAAGCTTTCCTGAGAGTTTTTACGAAAGAAAAAAAGAAAAAGAAATAAAGAAAGGAAGAAAAGAGCAAGGAAAAAAAAAAAAGCTTGAAGGAAACTTCTAAGAGTACACTCTGGGCCCAACTTCCTAGTATCTTATTCCGTTATCAACCTTCTTTCCACACTGCCCTCACTGCCTCTCTCTAATGGATCATTTGCATCAGTGTTTGCATCCATTCAGGACTCCTCTTACTGCAAGCTGCTGAAAATACAAAGCAGCTTAGGCAGAAAAGGGGTTGATGAGTTCAGTGGTAGATCTGACTTTCAAGGCTCAAACTTGTCCTCAGGTCTCTTTCTCTTAACTGCTAACGTCTGCCCCCTACTGTTTAGCTTCATTCTGTCTCCATTTGGTGGCCCAGCAGCAGTGGGCTCTTCCAAGAAGGTGGCAAGATGTTCCATCCTCCCACATCAGTCTTACAGGAAGAAACTAGACTCTTTTCCACTAGCTCCTGCAAAATCCTAACATTACCAAGACTGGACTAGCTTGGGTGACCCGTCCAACCTGGAGACATCAGTGCAGCCAGTCGGATGTGTTGCCCTGACCAGGCCGGAGTTATGAGAATACCTATGTTCTGGAAAGTAAGGACTGGAATTTATATTTGTACACAATCATAGTGCATAGCTCTGAATAACTCCTGACCTCACCTCTCTTCCTCCCCACAGCCCTAAAGATGGATCTACATGCCACATATCAGACAGGGCCTCTGATGGCCGTGGAGATCACTCGGGTCATGGCGCTGTACTGGTGGGCCCATAGCTGGTCCCTGCGCTCCCTCCACACACCAGTGGCCTCCCTGCACTCCGTGGCCCCAGAGCTGGGGGGCCTGGCAGGGGGCCTCCACACCATGGTGGTGCTGGGGCCCACTTTACCACCTTCCCTGCATCCTTCTTTATCTGATGACTGAGGGATCTGGGCAGCTGTGGTTGCACTCTTGTGGTCCTCAAGCTGGTCAACACCAGCTACAAGTCTGTGTGTGGCAGAGGCTAGTTTACCTTCCAGCTGAACCAGCTCCTCCGAGCTGCCTTTGTTGACCTCCGTGTGGCCTTTCCTGGGAAATGACCTCTAGCCTGGCCATGCCCAACAGCAGTCACACAGGCAGCTTGTCATCCACAAGGTAGACTTCCTCCTTTCTTTCATCTACCCCACCTGAGTGCTTCTGTCAGTCCTGGGGCTGTGTGGATAGAGGGCTTGGGGACTGGGACAGTTGTGAAGAGGACCTCAGTCATAATAGGACTTCTGGGATACGGGCAGGTGCCATCAACTTCTCTCCCCTGGAAGACTACAATAACTTCCTAACTACAGCTGATTCTGTTCTTGCTCACTCCAACCCATTTTTCACTCAGAAAGTATTTTAAAACATAAACGAGACCAGGTCATTAGCCTGCTCAAAACCCTAAGGTTTCTCAGTAAAAATCCAAACCCCTTACCATGGCCATGAGGCCCTGCACAGGGGCCCTGCCTAACTCTGCACCCTCATTTACTGCCACTCTTCCAACCCCATGGATTCCTGCTGCTCAAGCAGGTCAAGCTGTCCTGCCTCAGGGCCTTTCATATGTACTGTTCCTGTGCCTTGAAGCCTCCTCTCCCAGATACTCATATAGCTGGCTTTCTTTTCATTGAGTTCTCTGATCAAACATCATCTCCTCAATGGCTTTCCCTGACCACCCTCCCACTCCAGCACTCTATCCCCTTCCCAGCCTTTTTTCTCCTATCACTAACCACAATTTGTAATTATTTGATTTACTACTATTATTGTCTCAATAGAATCTATTCTCCAGGAGGGGCGGGGAGTTTGTCCAGCTTGCTCAGTGCTGTATTCCCGTGACCTAGAGCAGTGCAAGACATTGCAGGTGTTAAATATTCAATGACTGACTGAATGAATGAAAGTCAAATGACTAAGGTGTTACTTCTATGCCCTGAATTTTCTCTCAGCAACATGCATTTCATGAGAAATAAGCAACTAGCCAAAGTGTTGCAGTTGTTGATTACATTTGCATGATTATCACTATTAATGCTTCACAGTTACAATAGGGCAGTGTGATTTTCAATGTAGTTTCCTATTTTTTATTTGGGAAGACTCTCCCAAGAACATTCTCCCATTTTATTAATGGAGCCTGGAGAGATGGCACGCAGCTGATCGAGTCCTTGGTCCTAGTTTGTTTGCAAAAGTAGATACTGATGACAGCAGTGGCAGAAGCACCTGACCTCGCTGGAAAACCGGCCTCCTGGAAAGGCTGGTAGTTACCACCCTGACTCTTCTAACTTTGGCTGACGGGGTCCTTTCAGTGTCCTGGACGTCAGTCCTTGGCTGGGGGGAAGGGGGAGCTTCCCTGACAGGAGTCCAGTCTCTTCCAGGGCTTATCCGTGCACTATGGGCTCCTTGTCTACGACCACGGGATTCTGCCGGCAGTTACCTGGACCCTTTGTCTCTGGATTCCAGGTTTCCCTGACAACCCTGAAGGGAGCTCCGTGACCAGGCACGACCACGTCAGCAGTGCCTAAGACCCTCTTCCGGCTCCGCTCCTGGGCCACCGGGTCTTCACTTAGCGCCTTCCACGAGTCTTCGTCCCTATCGCGTTCAAACACATCACCCACCACCGCTACGGTGCCCAGGGCCGTACCCGCCACCACCACGCTCACGTCCCGCTGGCCGCCATGGCCCGGCGTGGCCCACACCTCGAGTCCCGGCCCCAGCCGCAGAGGCCGTTCCTCACCCAGCCCGTGGGGGAGGTAGTAGCCTCCGGGGAGGCAGAAGTCGTGCGAGACCAACACAGCCGCCCCGGGAAACAGCCCCAGGTTCCCGATGTGATCCGAGTGTCCATGAGTCCCTACCACCAGAGTCAAGTCTGCGGGACTCACTCCCTGCCCGTCAAGGGCCTTCAGGAGAGCCTCCCGAGCCCAGGGGCCCCCAGTGTCCACAAGGATGGGGCCACGGGCTGCCTCCTCCAGGGCCGTCTTCGCCTCGCCGCCCTTGGACAGGGCCTCTCGATGGCTGGAGTCCGAACTCCATGTCCCGGGCAGGATAAGGGTCACGGAACCGTCGGCGCGCACCGCGTCGCCAACCCCCTCGGGCTCCGCGTAGCCCTGCAGCAGAACCACCACAGAGTAGGAGTCGCCGGGCACTCGCAGAGGGAGCTCCCCGCGCAGCGGCTCGGTCCGCAGTAGACTGCTCATGGCCGGAGAAAGACAAGGGGCTGTGGGCGACTGTCCAGTACCTTCGGGTTCCAACACGCCCCCGGCCTCGGTCCAGTGGCACCTCCAAATCTGTTTTTTGACACCCCCTCGCACCCTTAAGATGGTATCGCCCACTACGGATCCGAAAATGGTACCCGCCCAACCTTTTCTTCCGCGTTAATCCACCCATACTTCAGCGTTTTCGGCCCCCGCCCCGCTCCTTTAGCGTGGTAGGTCCACTCATCACCCCCCAGAGGATGTACTTTTTATTTTCGTCGCTCTAATCGAAGCCATTCTTTACCTTGGACCTAGTTTTATCGTCTCTCTTGGGCTTTGCCTCACTCCGAGGAAAGAACAGAAATCGGAAAAGCGCGAAGAATTTTGACCTTTGCGAGCTCCCGTAAATCCATGTATTGCGGCTGGGGGAGCATCGCACGCTGAGTTTTAATCCCCGCGCACTCTCTGGCATGCGCAGACAGGGCCTGCACAGACCCAAGCCTGAATACGGGCCTCGGCCGTGTTTTCCCTACCAGCCTCCTTCGGTAACATTACAAAGCACTACTAGCTTCTAACAGGGTGGCGGCCAACAACCCTATTTTCTGAGAACTGCCACATCGGCCAGCTATGCTGTGTGTACGGCAGTTGTTTGAAACTTTGGACCCAGCTGATATATATATATATATATATATATTTTTTTTTAAGTTTACTAGCGATATAGAAAATTTGGCACCTGTGAAATTATGTGGTGGGCCCTCGGTAAAATTAATAAAGTATCTACTCCACCTAATTTACCAACATAACCCCATCCCCATCCAGTGTCCTTAAGTTTGTTGTCATGTAGTCTGGATGCAGACAGTGTATATGTCGTAGAGAATACCCTCTGGGTCTAAAAAAAGGGCAAAGTGACCTTACCAAGGTCCACAACTCCTATACCATCGCTGACCTCTGGTGGTGAGGGGTAGTAGTAGAGATATTCAAAGGGGAAAGCCTTCAATACTGTCACCACACAAACCTACAGTTAAGGAGCTAGATGGCAAGCAGAGAGCTCATCTGTTGGGGTAGGGCTTTCACCTACTGCACACACCTTTCTTCCTATAACCATGCTGTACCATCAGGATCCTGCCTGAGACCAGATGGGAGAGAACAGCTACAAGCTCTGAGTTGGGTCACTCACAACATCACCCTTAAAGCTGTGGGGCAGGGAGAACTCAGATTGCAGAGTGCTCTTCTCTGTGACCCCTGCCCCTTCCTGGGAGATCAAAAGCAAAGGTCAAAGATCCTCTGGGTCATGCTTGGAGTGGCCTGGTGTGTTGGTCATCTCTCCTTCCTCTTCCTCCTTCTCCTCTTGTTCTTGCTCCTCCTTTCCTTCTGTCTTCTCCTGCCCATCGGTGATCTTCTCCTTTCCAGTCCAATTTTCCTGTAGACACGCTAGGTTGGGTAATAGAAAACAATTTAGACTGTGGTCCTGTGGGTAGGGGATGTTGTTGCCTGGCAGGAAAGGGGCAAGCGCACACACTTACCAGTTTCAGCAGCTGGAAGCACATGACCTTCACAGAGAAAATGCTGTAGGGGCTGCTCCTGATGGTGGAAGTACCAGTCTCCCACCACGTCTTCAAACTCCTCCAGCATCGTCTCACACTGGTCAAGTAGAAGGGTCAAAAGGGTCTCTGCTTTGCTGGGCTTTGGAAACCCTCCTCTTTGCTCTTCACTCCCTGTCTCCCCGCCCCACCTTAGAGAGGCAGGTAGCCAGAAGGTTAAACTTGGCTTACTAGATGTGTGATCCTCATTCATTCAACAATCATATACTTGCACCTACTCTGCCAGGTAGGTTATTAAACTCTGAGTCTCAGCTCCTTGCTTGTAAAATGGAAAATGGTAATCAGGTTATTGTGAAGGTAAAATGAGGCATCTGAAATGTATGTGGCCTTGAGTTTACCACATGGTAGGTGCTTGGTAAGTGGTAGTACGTATTATTAGCCTCCCTTATTACTTCTTGATATGCTCCTGGGCACACTGCAATTAGTGGCAGAGTTCTCAGTCTCACCCCTTCTCCCTGCTCAGGGAAAGACCTCCCTAGGATCTAACTCCCCTTTCAGGTTCCCTTCACACCTCCTTGGTCATTGCAGTATCCTATCTTACCTGCTTCTTGAGGAATGTGACCTCCACGCTGGGCTCATCCCACAGCTCCAGAGGGATCCCCAGATCCACCTTCACCCCCTTCTGCACCAGGCCTTTCAGCGTTGCCATGGTCTGACTCTGCCCCTAAGAGATGGGAATTTGGGATCAGCCCAGTTCACTACCCACCTCTGTCCATTTCCAATGTATCAGATTTGTCAACTACTGGAGACTTGGGTGAATTCCATGAGGGTGAGATGAGGCAGTCTTAACAATGGAGGGGACACTCGAGAGCTAGGGGAGCTGGGCCCCAGAAGATACAAGTCTGAGAAGTAGGATCCTGCCCTGGGGAAGAGTCTGACCTTGGCATATCTCAGTGAGCCCTTGCGCTCAGCATGAACACTGTAATCCAGGATCCGCTCACATAAATTCTCCAAGGCCTCTTCTAGCCTTGTCTCTCTGTGGGAAGAGGGAAAACAAAGACTCCCTGAATATTGTACGAGCTCCCAGGGCTCCTTTGGGGGTTGGATGGTGGAGGAGCACCAAGAAGGACTCACGAAACACTGTAAGGGACATGTCTCTTCCTCTTGCCTGTGTCCAGCACCTGCCCCAGCTCTAGCACCTCTCGAGATCGGCCAGTGCGACTCAGCTCTTCCTGTAGCTCCAGGCTCAACAGCTTACACACTAGATGTTTGAGGGGATGTGAGAAATAAACAAACACACCAGCAACTCATTCTGCAGATGAGCAAAGGCAGCAGAGTATGATGGTTACCAGTGCAGACTCTGGAGCCAGCCTAGCTGGGTTGCAATCCTGACTCAGCCACTTAGCTGTGTGACAATCCTACTGTGCCTTGGTTTCTTTACCTCTAAAATAGATATAATAATAGTATCTCTTCATAGGGGTGTGGTCAGGATTAAACAAATCAGTCTATGGAAAGCCCTTAGAATACTGCCTGGCACATAGTGAGCACTGTATAACTCTTTGCTGTTGTTCTGCAATTATTTATTGAGCTCCTTCTGGATGCACAATAGAAATACAGAAAGCAATAAGACCCACAATTCCTATCCATGGGACACTACCAATGTAGTTGGGGACAGATAAAAGACAACAATATGGTGTGATGGACCCTACACTAGGGGTTAAGACCAAGATACATAATCTCATTAGGAAATGCAAAATTCATTCAATGTTCACATATTGACTTCCTACTAGGCTGCAATTTCCTTAAGGGTGAGCACTGCATCTATTCCACCACTGTCTTTCCAGCACCTAGCATGTGACCTGGCACATGATAGGTCCCAAGAAAGGGAGTGGCCTACACAGAAGTGCCAAGTGAATTAAACACAAAGGCAAGTAACAAAAGTGCCTAAAATGTGCCAGGCACTACGCTAGGACCTGGGAGACACAGGTACTCTCCTTCCCTCCAACGGCTTACAATGTGGTTGGAGGTGACAGATAAGAAAGAAGACTTCCAAAGGAGCTGACATTTGAACTGGATCTTGAAGAACCACATACAGAAGGGAGAGGGTCATTCCAGGCAAAGGGAAAAACAACATGCAAAGGCACAGAGGTTCAAAAAAATAAGGCAAGCTCCGTGACTACTAAGAAGTTCAGTGTGGCTTAAGCATGGGCACTTTGGGGATGGAAGTTGGGGTACGGAAATGCAAGAAAGGTAGGGGCATACAACAAAGATACATATGCTCTGCCCTAAAAAATATGGGCTGTAGTCTGATAACAGCAGGCAGCTTGCAGCGGTGTTGGATCAAGGACAAGATTGCATATATGTTTAGAAAAACTGACAGTTGTCGGGGGAGAAGGGTGGGACCAAGTCTTGAGGAACACTGATATTGAAATTCAGGTTAAGGGTAAAATAATTCAGGGAAGAAATTAATGTCAGGAAGGCAACAAACTAGAGAACCAGAGCACTCAATTACTCAGCTCCGAAGTGACCCCTCTGAGCTGGGCCACAGAAGACGCTGTTCACTGTAAAATCCATACAGTACACAACCTTTGCAAAGCCTCACACTATGGGGAACCTCTCCTAGCTATGTGGCCTCCTCTTTTATTTATGAGCTTCCAGGGCTGACTTACTCACCTTTAAACTCCCTCAGGAGAGCGTGGGACCTGTAATTTGGGAGCGTCTCTGCTGAGGTGGAGCAGATGTCCACATGGTATGAGTGTCACACCCCGCTCCTGCAGGTTTTCCAGATTTTGGTCCAGTGGCAGGGGAAACACACACACACACACTGAAGATGCTCAGTAGAGTGGGCGACCCTGCACAGATAGTCCTGAACTACAATTCCCACAAACCATTGGGCCATAAGCCAGCCAGAAAAAGCGGACTCTCTATGGGTGTCTCATGGGAATTGTAGTGCCATAGTTTTGGGGTCGCGCTGTGGGTTCCCTCCCTTGATCCCATTCAATTTCCAACAACTCCGCCAGAACCTTCCTCAGTCCATCTGGTCCGATCCAGACAAAGTACATGGGACAGAGGGATGCAAATAAGGGCTACTCCCTTCAGATACCTTCGCATTTGCTGGGCAGGCGTTCTGTGTCGTCGTCCTCCTCCTTCGGCGTCCCAGCCCAAGCACCGTACACAGCCAAAATGAAAAGCAACATTCCCAACCGCACAGGTCCCATGACAGAAGTGCTGTCCACAACCAACCACCCCTTGCCTTCAAACCAACTTCAGGAAGGCTGCGGGCCCTTTAAATTCCAAGGCGGCCAGCAGTAACTTTAATCTAGCGTGGAACAGGAAGCGTATGCGCAGTGCCCGCCCAAGAAGGGGTGGGGCCTCCCTGTGTTCAGGGCGTCCCCGCCTCGGTTTTGTGGCGCCTCCCGAAGGTCCTGGTCGCCCGGTAGTGGAAGAGATAAACAGAAGTAATTATAGCAGGGGGCTGTGCTCTTTACACGTAGACATCGGAACAGAATTTTTTCATATCGTCTCAGGCCGTGAGCCTAAAGAACTTATTCCGACTCGGAGAAGGGGCAGTGACTTGCTCCCCATCTCTGCCAGGACCTGCTCCCGGGAGGGGGCGGGGCCAACATGGCGCCGAGCGCCGGGTGAGCGGCGCTTTGGCTGCGGTGAGAGTCTTTTCCTGCGCGGGGCGCTCGGCTGGCGGGGGTGGGTCTGAGTGGTACCTGGGGGTAGACCCTTTGACGTGCCTGTGTGGGGACCTGGAGGAAGACGGTTGGTTGTGTGTTCGTGCGCGTGGGCTCTGTGTATTTGCGTTGGAGGGATGTTGGGGGATGAGGTGGGCTCTGCTGCTGCTTTCGCACTGGATCCATTGCCTGGGAATCTTCGACCCACTTCCCTGCAGAGGGATCTACAAAGATGTAGCTCAAGTAACCCTTCTCTGTGAAGCCTTCCTGCAGACTCCACTGACCAGAGGGGCTCCTGAAGCCCTCACGTGTTTTATGAGCCTTTACTGGCAGAGGATACTGCAGGGTATTGAAGGATTAGTAGGAGTTCGCCAGGAAACTGGGACACCACCGCTTCTTGTATACCCGGCTCCAGGCACAGAGTATGTGTTGAATAAATGTGTTCCCCGCAGATAAGACTTACAAAAGTGGGAGAGGAGATCTGGGATGGTTTGAGAAGAACCAAATTCTTTTGCCTCCATCTTCCCACCCCTCCATCACGTCCCCACCTACACCCCGCAGTCAGTCCTAAACATTTTTTTTAAAGAAATTTTTTGGGGGAACTGTGTTTTTCCAGGACCCACCAGCTCCAAGTCAAGTAGTTGTTTCAATCCAGTTGTGGAGGGCGTTTTTCCAGGACCGATCAGCCCCCAGTCAAGTAGTTGTCTTCAATCTAGTTGTGGAGGGCGCAGCTCCTTGGCCCTTGTGGGAATCGAACCAGCAACCCTGGTGTTATGAGCCTGCGCTCTAATCACCTGAGCTAGCCGGCCGCCCCAGTCCTAAACACTTGACATTAGTCTTCCTAATGCCAGCTTCAAGCAAGCCACTTTTCTTTTTACCACAAAGTAGATTTTCAAACTTGGGCCTGTATTTTGTTCATCTTAATAGTGATACTGAGTATGTATTGAGCACATACATCTCCAAGCCTCATAATTCATTCATTTATTCAACAAATATGCATTATTTACAATGTCTCAGGCAACTGTCTGTGGTCTTGGAATATATCAGTGGACATAACAAAGATCTATGTCTACATAGTGCAGGAAGGGATGTGTGTGGTGGTGATAAACAATAAAAAATACAGTATATATTAGATGTTCAATGCCGTAGGGGGTGGGGGGGAGAAAGCAGAGTGGGGGTGGGGTAAAGTAAAATAGGGTGGTAGGAATAGGCAGCCAAGCTGACATCTGGGGAAGAGCACTCCAGGCTGAAGGAACAGCAAAACCCATAAAACAAAAGCATGCCTGTCAGTTTTGAATAGCAAGCAGGATCAAGGTGTAAGAAGGAAGGGAAGGAGAGCAGAGATGTAATGGAGAGGGCAAATCATGTAGGGCCTTGTAGATCATAATGAGAATTTTGGGTTTTACTTGATGGCACATGGGGACCCATTACAGGGCTTGAGCAGAGAAATGACCCAATCTGGTTTATAATTTGACAGAATCACTCTGGCTGCTATATTGGGAATAGATGTAGGAAAGCAGGGGTGGAAGCAGGAAGAGCTTATCAGGAGGCTCTTGAAGTTACCCAGATGATAGATGTTGAGGACGAGACCATGGAGTGGGAGTACAGGAATCAGGTCGGGCCGCCTGGTGGATTTGATGTGAGGGCTCACATAAAGAATGAGCTCCTAGATGGATGGTGGCATTACAAAGACAAGAAAAGCTGAGTCTGGAGCAAGTGGGGAGGGGGAGATCGGGAATTCAGTTTTAGTGGAGATTTTAAGTAGACAGTTTGATATACAAGCCTGGAGCTAGGAAGAACACTCGGCTGGGGATAAATTTGGCCATCATCAGCCTAGAAGGGATACTAAAAACAGAGGTTGAAGTCACCAAGCAAGTAAGCGTAGCTACAGAAGAAGACTAAGGACTGAGTCCAGCACATTCCAACATTAAGCAGATAAGAGGAAGAAGAACCAGTAAAGGAAAATGAGAGGGAGTGGCCAGTGAGGTAGGAGGAAAACCAGGAAGGTGATATAGTGCAGCAGTGGAGTAAAGAAAGTTGTCAGAAGGGAGTAGTCAGCTATGCCATGTGCTGCTGAGAGGTTAAGGAAGATGAGGACGGAGAGTGGGCCTCAGATTTGGCTGTGACATCATCAGTGACCTTAAGTGGTTTCAGGGACCTAGTGAGGTCAAAAGCCTGATTGGAGTAGGTCCAAGAGAGGAGAGGAATTAGAAACAAAGTTAAGACAACTCTTTTAGGAAGTTTCATTGCAAGGAGGAGCCAAAAATGGGGTATAGCATGTGGAAAAAATGGGATGAAGAAAAAAAAATTTTAAATATATAATTTGGTGAAATACACATAAAACTTATCATCTTAACCACTTTTAAGTGTAGTTTAGTGGCCTTAAATACATTCACTTTATTGTGCAACCGTCACCACCATCCATCTCCAGAACTCTTTTCATGTTGTAAAACTGAAATTCTGTACCTATTAAACAATAACTTCCCATCTTCCCTCCTCCAGCCCCTGGCAACCACCGTTCTACTTTTTGACTCTTGAGTTTCACTACTCTAAGATCCTCACACAAGTGGAATCATAGCATATTTGTCCTTTTGTGACTGGCATGTTTCACTCAGCATAATGTCCTCAGGGTTCATCCATGCTGTAGCAGGTGTCAGAATTTTCTTCCTTTTTAAGGCTGAATAATATTCTACTGTATATATACCGCTGTTTTGTTTTATTAAGATGGGAGAAATAACTGCATTTTGTAGGCTGATGGGAATGATCTGGTAGGTTGAGAAATTGATGATTCAAGGAGATGGGAGAAATACTGGAGCAATGCTTGAGTTGGTGACTGGCATGAACAGTTTATAGTAACAAGTGGGAAGGCAGAGTATGTGGGCACCGGTGCTACTTGGGGGTAGAAATGGTAGTGGGAGTCTGTGGAGGTCCCTTCTGATGGCTGAAAGTGAGGAAGGAGAAAAGGTGTCACATAGAAGAGAGAGACTGAGAGCATAGAGGTATATCTGATTGTCTGGCAGCATTAAGGGCCCACTTGAAGTTTATGGCCATTAATTTAAAGTGGGAATTGGTCATGATGGTTGTATGTTTTTCACATCACGTTGAATTGTGTGGGTATATAGGCTCAGAGTGGGAGGATTGTATTTAACCAATATTGTGTTTGTGTCAGGCATGAATAATGATGAAAGAAGGGGCAAGAGAGATGCAGGTATCCGCAAAACAACTTTAGGAAAAAAGTGTTTTCCACATTTTACAGAGAAGAAACTCAAAGCTGGGACAATTTAAATAATCTGCCCAAGTAACACAGCTAGGTAGTGAGTGCTAGGACTGGGATTTAAATTGAGAGTCGAGATCATTTTGTACCTCACTTGCACAGTGCCTGCCAGAACTCAATAAATTATGTTGAGTTGGATTCGATTGCTACCTCCTTCTGTTATACCCAGTGCTGACTCATGTGGAGATGGACAGAAGACCCCCCTGAGTTCCTTCCCTCACATCCCCATTGCCCTCCATTTGTTGTGACCTCTCCTGACCAGATAGCCCCTCTTCTTTGGGTCTGACGTTTCTTTTTCTCTCTTCCCCTATCCTTCTGCCAGGGCCTCCCATCTCTCCATCTCTCCACCCTGGGGGCATCATCCTTCAACGGAGGGAGGAGGGGCTCCAGAATGGCTGAGGAGAAGAAGCTGAAGCTCAGCAATACCGTGCTGCCTTCGGAGTCAATGAAGGTGGTGGCCGAGTCGATGGGCATTGCCCAGATTCAGGAGGAAACCTGCCAGCTGCTGACAGATGAAGTCAGCTACCGCATCAAGGAGATTGCACAGGTAGCCTGGTCCCTCTACCCAGCCCTGCATTGTATTGAGGATGCTGCCCAGGCCCCCTTCTTCCTCAGGGTCTTGGGCTGACATCGGTTCTCCCACCTCAGGACGCCTTGAAGTTCATGCACATGGGGAAGCGGCAGAAGCTCACCACCAGTGACATTGACTACGCACTGAAGCTTAAGAATGTTGAGGTGATTTGGACACCCAGGACTGAGATGGGGGGCAGGGTGGTGAGAGCATTCCTCCCAGACTCTGCATTTGCCTTCAGCCACGTCTCCACGGGCTCCCTTCTCATCCGTGTGTCTCTCTCTCTCCTGATTTAGCCACTTTATGGCTTCCACGCTCAGGAGTTCATTCCTTTCCGGTTTGCCTCTGGTGGGGGCCGGGAGCTTTACTTTTACGAGGAGAAGGAGGTTGACCTGAGCGACATCATCAATACCCCTCTGCCCCGGGTACCCCTGGACGTCTGCCTCAAAGGTCGGAGGAGAGGAGAGCAGGGTGGTGGGGAAGAGGGAAAGGGGGAGCAATGCATATAGGTTTGAAGAAGCTCACAAGGAAGAAACCCTCAGTGTGAGATCCCTGGTGAGTTGCAGGAAGTGGGAACAGGATTGAAAACACACATTCCTTAGTGTGAAGTGAATCCCTAGTGTCCATGTCCAGCAGTTCAACTTGACACCTTCCTTCCTCACAGCTCATTGGTTGAGCATTGAAGGCTACCAGCCAGCTATCCCAGAGAACCCACCCCCAGGTAACCTCCATGCCCAGAGCCCACCGCTCTCTATATCACTTTTCCTCCTTCCTTTACATCTACCGCTCTTGACACTCCTGTTGTGGCTGCTTTCCCACCAGCTCCCAAAGAGCAGCAGAAGGCTGAGGCCACAGAACCCCTGAAGTCAGCAAAGCCAGGCCAGGAGGAAGATGGACCCTTGAAAGGCAAAGGTCAGGGGGCTGCTCCAGCTGATGGCAAAGGTCAGTACTGCTAGACCAGGCCTGTCAACTCTTGCCCCAGAGCCAGATGGTCATTTGTAAAGTGGGTGAGGTCAGGGTAAGGGGCGAGACCTCAGACCAGAGCCTCAGAAGGGATCTGGCAGCCTAATGGAAGTGGGTCTCCCTAAGTGGGGGAGTGGAGGGTCAAGGTTTGTCTGGTACTGAGGCCTCTTCTGGAGCTCTTTTTCAAACCTGTCTTCCCAATTCACACAGGGAAAGAGAAGAAGGCACCACCCCTGCTGGAGGGGGGCCCTTTGCGACTAAAGCCTCGAAGTATCCATGAGCTGTCTGTGGAGCAGCAGCTGTACTACAAGGAGATCACCGAAGCCTGTGTGGGGTCATGTGAAGCCAAGAGAGCGGTGAGGCCCCACCATCCTGCCTTTACACCGAGACTCCTCTTGAAGGCCCCACAAATTCCTTCCATGGTGTCTGTCTCCACTTTACTCATTCCCCTCCTCCCACAGGAAGCTCTTCAGAGCATTGCAACAGACCCGGGGCTCTATCAAATGCTGCCAAGATTCAGCACCTTCATCTCAGAGGGGGTGAGAGGATTAAGGAAGGCCAGGACTGAGGATGAGGTTCCATGGGGTGAGGAGGGGATGCTCATCTAACGGATCTCCCTGCCCTATCACTTCTCCCTCCTATAGGTCCGTGTGAACGTGGTGCAGAACAACCTGGCCCTGCTCATCTACCTGATGCGCATGGTGAAGGCACTGATGGATAACCCTACGCTGTATCTAGAAAAATACGTGAGTGGTCCTGCCCACCTACCTCTCATCCCAGAGTTCAGGGATCTCACTGCCATCAACAGGAAGCCATTTTTCAGAATTAGCTGACTTGGCACTTCTCCCTTAGGTTCATGAGTTGATTCCAGCTGTGATGACCTGCATCGTGAGCAGACAGCTGTGCCTGCGGCCAGATGTGGACAATCACTGGGCACTCCGGGACTTTGCTGCCCGCCTGGTAGCCCAGATCTGCAAGCATTTCAGCACAACCACAAACAACATCCAGTCCCGGATCACCAAGACCTTCACCAAGGTGAGCCAGGGGAACAAGGAACAGGGCCCTTTCACATCTCTACCTCGGGTTGTCACCATGACAATGAGAGATTCACCCAAACCAGTGGGGGAAAGGACTCTGAAAACAAGGGGCAGAGGCCCGGGGGAGTGGGACTGGAGCCATATGTATCTGCAATGTCTTAGTGATCTACAAGGAAAGTGTTTATAAGAGATTTGGGTCCTTTCAGGCCCCTTTATCTGAGTTTATTTTCCATCCCCTTACAGAGCTGGGTGGATGAGAAGACACCGTGGACCACGCGTTATGGCTCCATCGCAGGCCTGGCCGAGCTGGGACATGATGTCAGGCCCCAGGGGGATGCACTGGGGGAGGAGGCATCTTGAAGTCATAGTGGGCAAGAGCCCTCCACTTGGGAAGCCCTCTGGTGACCCCAGGGCCCTGGCTTCTCCCCTTCCTTTCCAACAGGTAATTAAGACTCTGATTCTGCCCCGGCTGCAGCAGGAGGGGGAACGGATCCGCAGTGTCCTGGATGGCCCTGTGCTGAGCAACATTGACCGCATCGGAGCTGACCACGTGCAGAGCCTCCTCCTGGTGACCAGAGCCCCTTGCCCTCCCTCCACTTCTTCCCACTAATCCCCCACTCCCTACCAACACACACACACACACACATACACACACACACACACACACACACACACACACGTGCAGTGTTTAGCAATCATGCGGTATCTTTTATTCACTTATCCCACCTTTGCCTCCTTTATTCAGAGCACACCTCAGTCTAATACTGTTTTGCAGATGGAAAGACTGAGGCACAAAGGGATTAAGTAAGAAATAAGAGGTCCTAACCTCAGCCTGTGACTTCTAGACTACACTGCCCTGGACGCTTCCGCATCATTCTGGCCCTTTCTGTGCAAGGCAAATGCCCTATAGACCAACTACCCCTTAGATATTACCAGGGTATTCAGCAAGTTCTCTTCACACTAGTTGGTGCCTGTGTTTCCTCATGAAAAAAAACCCCACAGCATTCCTTGCACACAATGCTATCCTAGCAATTTGACCTCCAATAGGAACATACTAAAATAACAGTTTGGTCTCCAAGAGGAACATACTGAAATGATGGGTAATATCCTTTTTCACCCCTTCACCAATCTTTTGAGCGTCCCAGTCCACCCTCTACCTGGCCCTCCCTCTACCTGGCTTTTTTTTGCATTCTCTGCAGAAACACTGTGCCCCTGTTCTGGCAAAGCTGCGCCCACCGCCTGACAATCAGGATGCCTATCGGGGAGAATTTGGGTCCCTTGGACCCCTCCTCTGCTCCCATGTGGTCAAGGCCCGGGCCCAAGCTGCTCTGCAGGCTCAACAGGTCAATAGGACCACTCTGACCATCACTCAGGTCAGTGACACTGCAGGGCGGAGGAAGGGTGACCAAGTGGAGAGGAGTAAGGTGAAATGAAGAAAAATGGGGGTGGGGTGGGATACAGCCATGGTTCCCATCAGGGCAGGAATCACAGACACACCCACGCTCAGGAATGAACTGTGTAAAATCAGGGCCCTCTGAGTCAGTCTTGGGGGAGGGTAGTCCCTCAACCCCAGTGAGACCGATTGAGGAGCAAGAGGAGCCCTTCTTTTTCATAGATGTTGACATTTTCTTCTTGCCTCTTTTTCCTACAGCCCCGGCCCACGCTGACCCTCTCACAGGCCCCTCAGCCTGGCCCTCGGACCCCTGGCTTGCTGAAGGTCCCTGGCTCCATTGCACTGCCTGTCCAGACACTGGTGTCTGCACGAGCAGCTGCCCCACCTCAGCCTTCCCCTCCTCCAACTAAGTTTATTGTAATGTCATCCTCTAGCGCCTCATCCACCCAACAGGTATGTGGAGTGTGTGGGACCAGGGATGGTGGGGAGCATGTCACCATGCATCTCTGAAAGAGCTGGGGTTACCTCAGAGCACCCTGGGGAGCCCCAGAGTAGAGCCCAGTCACCTCTGGGCCCAAAGACAGGAACTAGGAGCACTTCCTAAGGGCCTGCAAGGCTGTAGCTACTCCTGAGCAAGGCTCAGGGGTTGAATAGTTCGGTTGAAGCAAGTGAAGTATTCCCCCAGTCTTGGGGAATGGGGAGGACACAAGGCAAGAGGCACAGCCTTTCCTTTCTTCCCCTAGGTTCTGTCCCTCAGCACCTCAGCCCCTGGCTCAGGCTCTACCACTACTTCTCCTGTTACCACCACGGTCCCCAGCGTGCAGCCCATTGTCAAGCTGGTCTCCACCGCCACAGCTGCACCACCCAGCACTGCCCCTTCTGGCCCTGGCAGTGTCCAAAAGTACATAGTGGTTTCTCTTCCCCCAACAGGGGAGGGCAAAGGAGGCCCCACCTCCCATCCTTCCCCAGTCCCTCCCCCATCCTCAGCCCCTTCCCCACTTGGGGGCAGTGCCTTCTGTGGGGGAAAACAGGAAGCTGGAGATAGCCCCCCTCCAGCTCCAGGGACTCCAAAGGCTAATGGCTCCCAGCCCCCTGGATCTGGCTCCCCTCAGCCGGCACCTTGATGCTGTCAGACATCTGTCAATCTCTTCCTCAGATTCTCTCCACACACGCACACATGCACGCTTACTAGGTGGAAGGAAGTAGGAGCCTGCTTCCCCTACTTTAACTTTCTTTTTAGATATTGTACAGCCAGCTTTTCAGAATAAAAGTTTGATTTGTACGTTCTGATCCACCTCAATCCTTCCTGTGACCAGTACTATGGGAGGGTCTAACCTGTTGAGCCCTCGTGGTCTCTAGGACTTAGGACTCTTCCAGTCAGATCCATAGCCATGGGCCTTAAATCGATAAGGCTGGAATAGATAGTATAATCCTTTTCCCCAACCACAGACCATTTGCTGCCCATGTCCTCATTTGGGGAGCCTCAGATCCGAACGACATAGGCATCACTGTGGCTTAGGTGTCGCACCCATTTGTGGGGGTTGGTGTTGCTGCAGGATCTGAAGGCCAGTCTGAGGAAGCGAACCTGGAGGCCAGAGCACGTGTGCCGGGGAAGTTCAAAGGAGAGGCTTGCGGGGCCCAGCCCCAGAGGTGGGGCTGAGGTGGAGTGCCCTTGACTGGGAGGCCCAGGCAGGCCGGGGACTTCCATCTGTGAGAGGCAGAGGCAGGGAGAGAGGTGCTTAAGGCACAGAGAGGGAGAGGAAGGTGGGTAGGGAAGCCAAGGGGCCAGAAAGCTGACCACACTGGCGGGAACAATGCAGCAATTGCATTAGGCAGAGAGGGTCCGGGGGCTAAAAATGGAGGTGGGACTAGAGGGCTTTAGAGAATCAGCAGCCAATACCTGGAAAAGGCCCGAGAGCTGAGAGCCTCCTTGCACCCGAGGCAGGTCCCAGCGAAGGGCTCCATCCCCTAGCTCTGCTTTCTGCTCTGGGCTGCTCAGCTCCTGAGATAGGCTGGAGTTTGGAGAGGAAAGGTGCTGGGCTCAGCTCATACCTGCCTTGGGGGCAGGCCAGTTCCACCCCACAGTGTCCACTTTCCTCCCCAGTGCCACCCTGTTGTCCAGGGAAGCTGGTAAAACCACCCAAGCAAGCCGCCACGTTAAACACACACTAACCTGAGCACCCCTCGAGGCAGGGGAAGGTGCAGCCTGACGTTGAGAGCCTGGCTGCAAAGGTGAAAGGAATAGAGTCAGCCCCAGGAAAGTAATGACTTGTCCCCACACTTCATTAATGTCACAGCTGGAGTACAGCACAAGGGCCACCCAATCCCCTTCCCAAACTCTCGAGCCTCAAACTAAACTGGATTCTGAGGCTGGTGGCTGCATCTGAAGATGGAGGCAATAGGTATCAGCCCTGTCTCCTAACCCACGTAGCTGAGTTAGTCTTGGCTACCCCCACTCGTACCTCTTTGGGGGCAGGTCACATCGTAACTTCAGATAAACCAGGAGCCTAGGTGAGAGTATAATATTGTTACTTGGGCCATATCCTACTGGCATCTCACCATCCCCCACCCAAGGCCCCCATGTGTGGCTGTGTTGGTTGTGCCCAGGTAGAAGAGAGAAAGGCTGAAATCTACCCAACTCCACTAGTCACTAGCGTTCATGGGGCTGAGTCCACTTGGGAGGAGGGTGTCTTTTTCTAACTCATATCCTATACCACTACCACCACCATCCCTCCATAATAATACTTGGGAACATATATCTATTGGCTTGAGTTCTAGAGAAGTTCTAGAACAGAGGAAATGGTCTCACCTGCCAGAACCTCGGTCCCACTGCACAGAGGGAAAGAGCCGGAAAGGGAGCGGTGAGGGGAGGTCATCTGAGAGTTGGTACCGCATCACAGTCAGCTGAGACCAGGGAGGAACAGAGGCAGGTTGGTCCCCTTACACCTGAGCTGCCTCCCTTCCCCTGAGCAGATGGAACATGTTCAGCCAGCCCATCCTGACCTCGCCCTGAGGTGGCTGCAAGTGGAGGATTCGGTGAGACTCAAATTCATCCAGGTGCACCGAGCTGTGAAATGAGACCTCATCCACCCGAATTCCTGGCCCATAACCTGGAAAGACAGAAAGGCTCCTCTCCTAACTCATATTTTGGGAGAGAAGAGCACGGGTGGGGTGGGGTAGGGATCTGTCTCTAACTTCTCTCCACAAAACCTCTGGCAGTGACCTATACCTAGGAGAGAAAGACCCACTTTCTCCTCACCTCTCAGTTCTGACTTCCCCACACAAAATTCTTCTGTCAAGCCAATGCGCATCTCTGTCAGAGAAAAGGACATCAGAAAACGCCATCAAATACCACCATACATACCATCAAGGAGCCTGTCCCAAACCCAACCCTGGGCCCAACCTGCAAGCTTCTTACCAGAGCCACTGGGAAGAAAGCTCTTGAGTCGGATCTCTCCCTGCACGTCCACCTTCAGCAGCGAGCCCTGAGAGTGGCCAGGAGGTTAATGTCCAGAGGCAACCTCCCCAATACATTTCCCAGATACCAGATACCATCTGACCTCAGCTCCGGGGATGGGGGCACGAACTTACATTAGATGCTATCAGCACAGATAGTCTCTCGACCACATCTAAAAATACTTCATTCTTTTGGCTCTGAGGAAGAGAGGAGATTTGGGTGGTTGGAGGCTGAACAACCTTGTTCTAAAGTGGACAGGGAAGTGGAGGCTAGGGCCCTGGGGTGGGAACACAAGGTAAGAGAAGGGACTGGATTATCCACATCTAAGGGATGTGGAAAGATATGCTGGGAACTTAGGACTCTGGGGCCCCAGAAAAAAATCAGAGGGTCCGAACCCCTTCGTCCCTCTCACCTGGTCAGAGCGGCTGGACAGGACGGGGCGGCTGGCTGCACTGCTAGGGGCCACTTTACTCTGTTGTGTCTCAGCCCCAAACTGGAAAGCACCCAAAGCAATCAGTCCTCAGGTCTGACACTCCCTGTCAGCCCTTCCCCCTCCTGGTCCTCTTTCCTCCACTGACCAAGCCAACACTGCTGAGGTCAAAGAGGCTGAAGGGCTTGCTGACCACAGCCTCGGTCTGGATGAAGTTCCTCAGCATCTCTGTGGATGTGGTCTGTACGTAGCCATAGTCCTAGGGGAGGAGGAAAAACAGTCTTTGGGTGGCCAGCAGAGGAAAGGGGTGAAAAGGAGTGGACTTAGCCTCCAAACAGAGGAACAGATCTTCAGGGAACAGGGACAAAGGAAAATCCTTGGACCTTACCAGCACTTCATCCAGGAGTTCATAGACAAGAGCCACATTGCGGGAAATCGTCCCCTCACCCAGGGAGCCACAGTAGTCACCCAGGAGAGTGGCTAACCTGAGGAAAAAGAAGGGAGTGTACATCTTGTCCTCTCACACCCCCAAGCCCAGCTCCCCAGCCCTGCCCTCCTCACCGAGAGAGCAACTCTAGGAGACTGAAGGGAGAAATGTTTTCTGAAGTCGTTGCCACCAAATAGAGGCCGCTGTGTCTGATGTGAATAAAATGTCGGTCTTCGTGGTGCTGAGGCAAAGCCAGGAAGGAAGCGTCAGGAAGAGAGTTGAGCTTACCGGCCCAAGAGACTTGGGCTGGTATCCTGATTCTCCTACTTCACAGCAGTGCGACTCAGGGCGAACTATAAACCTCCCTGGAGCCCTGCTTCCCAAAGTGTAAGTGGAGTTAATAATAGTTCCTACCCCAGAGGTGCTTAGGATTAAGACTTGTGAAAAGCTGTGCCTGCTAAATAACTAGCGCTCAGTACACTCATTAATATTATTTGTAGGAATGTACCCCCTAAGGGGAAGCTCTCAAGACAGCAGCCTTGGGAGGGAGGAGGCACCCACCCTACTCAAGCTTGCCTAGAGTACCACTCCCACCCCAGTGGTTACCATGACAACCGGGGACTCGTCTCCGGGCAGTCCAGTCAGTTTCCGATAGAAGAGCTCAGCCACATCTCGGCCGCCACTGTCCCCGCGGACTGACGGGTTGAAGGGCAGCTAAGGAGCTGGCGACACGGACTGGCTCCGGGGCACTACTCCCATCCAGCCCAACCTCCCTATCCCCACGGACCTGTGGGTCAAGGATACAGTCCTTGTAGATGAGCGGGTCCCCCTTGGAGGACAGAATGAAGAACTGGGAAATCATAGCCGTCCTGGAGAGTAGACAAGGAGACAGCGAAAGTTGGGCCTGCCCCTCCCTGCGGCCCGGGAACAAAAGGACGCTCGTAGACTGGCCCTTTAAGAGCGATTCTCCTCCGACGCGGGAAACCCGGCGCCCACCCTGCCTTGCCCAATCTGTACCTCCCGACACTCGCACCGCGGCGAGTGGGAGGAACGGAGGGCCTCCTCTCGGATTGGCCCGTACGCAGCGGCGCCGGTCACGTGTTGGGCGACGTTTCGCGCCAATTTCGGTTGGTCCTCCGCAGTCCGCCGCGCGGACGTTAGCTGCTACCGAGATCTTTGAGCCAGCTGACTGCTGTGTTACGGCTCTCGGCAGCGATGGCACTTAAGGACTACGCGCTCGAGAAGGGTGAGGGTCTGCAAGCCTGGGAGGGGCGGCCTGCGCGGGAAATGTCCCGGCCAACACCTGTTGTTGGGGTCCTGGGGGGGGGGGACCAGGCTCAGCGCGAGGCCAGACCCCGGGCCAGAGGCGGTGGGGCTGAGGCAGACGTTGTCTGGGAGACACGTGGAGGACCGAGGTCGGAGAAGACTTGGAGATCGTGCCCGGGAAAGGAGTGGCGGTCGTGAGGGGGTTGGGGGTTGGCAGCCCGGCTTAGGGGCTCCAGTTGGGAGGGTCGCGCCCAGGAGAGACCGGGACCTCAGGGGGCCCTGTCTACGGCGCAGTGTCGAGCACTCTTCTGGCTCACTTCCATCCGCACTCTTAACGCACTCCCAAGTGCCCGCGTCCTCCCTAGACGCGCCGAAACTCAGGGGGCGGGCCGGCCGGGCCGCTGCGCGCCGGGATTGGCCATTTTAGGCCATCCTCCGAGCGGAAGTGAAGGAGGGCGGAAGTTGCGCGACGCCTCTGGAGGGAGTGTCGTGTGTAAACAGTGTCCTTCCGCGCGGTGGCCTCGGAGAGAGCTACTGAGGGTGGGGGAGTGCCTGGAATTGGGAGCTTTAGTGGGTAGCTGAGAGAGGAGGTAGCGGTTAGGACCGAGTGGCCCAGGACGCGCTGGCCAATAGCCGGAGGGGCTCACACCCTGGGCGGAGGAATCCCGGGCTGTGAAGCGGCTGCATCTGGGCCCATGTGCTTCTTTGTTTACTAAGAGCGGAAGCAGTGGCGGGAGAGGGGGTGGGGTGAAGGATGGGCCTAGTGGCCGAGATTTAGGGGACCGAAAGAAAAAGGGGGAAATCATACGTGTGGAGGAAAAGCTGAGAACCTTGAAACCTGAGTGTGTTGCTGGGAGTGGCAGGCCTTTGGGGAAAAGGCACTGAGATTTCTAAGGCAGACTGGAATTCTCCTAGGGGAGGATGTTGGGTAATACTCTCAACTGCCAGGGGCCCTTAATTCTTCTCTAGGTAAAACAGACTTCTGAAGAGGAGTTCTGCCCAGTGTGGGGAGGATCATGTAGGGTTATTTAAACGTTTATATAACTAGTTCATTTAGATGAAATGTTTTAAATGGAGGTGAGTTTCTTAGGTTTTTATCAGAGGGGTTTGCAGTAAGGTATTTGAAAGAAAGGAAGATTGATTCTCGTGATTTTACATTTACCTTCTAGAAAAGGTGAAGAAGTTCCTACAAGAGTTCTACCAGGATGATGAGTTTGGCAAGAAGCAGTTCAAGTATGGGAACCAGTTGGTAAGTCTGCAGTTAGGTAGAGGGAATGGGCTGGTTGCTTACAGGAGCTGTAAGAAGTGGCCTAACTTATTTCAGCAAGTACATTTGTCTGTAAGGGACAAGTTTGCTGCCATGTGGTTATGGTAAGTGAATGTAGTACTACATTCGTGATAAGTAAGGTGTTTTTAAGAATTGGTAGTCTGTCTTTTGGGGGTTGAGAAATGAGTGTTGCTCTGTCTCACACCCCTCTTTCTTGCATGTGGAGGCCTGGAACCTGTATGCTGCGCTCACAGTGATGTGTCCTTGTATGTGAATACTGGTGAGCATGGTAAACCTCGTTCTGAGGTATTGCTGACTCTTCCCCACCCCAGGTTCGACTAGCTCATCGGGAACAAGTGGCATTGTACATAGACCTAGATGATGTGGCTGAAGAGGACCCTGAGTTGGTGGACTCAATTTGTGAGAACACCAAGCGCTATGCAAGGCTCTTTGCTGATACAGTACAAGAGCTGCTGCCTCAGTACAAGGAGAGGGAGGTGAGTACAGGAGAATGCAGGGCAAGGAACTTAGATTTCTGTCAGGAAGCTTCTCAGGTTTTCTGAGCTGGCAGGAAGGAGGGCAGTGATTTCTGCCTAATTGTCCTTTATGCTCCATCCTGCCACTCATTTTTCCCGTCTTCTTCTGTTTGCCTGTAGGTGGTAAATAAAGATGTTCTGGACGTTTACATTGAGCACCGGCTGATGATGGAACAGCGGAGCCGTGACCCTGGGGCAGCCCGAAGCCCCCAGAACCAGTACCCTCCTGAACTCATGCGTAGATTGTGAGTAGTCTCAGTGAGGGAAGGGTATGGGAATTTGCCCTCCAGGACTTGGCTAATGACTGTTTTTTCCCTTAGTGAGCTGTATTTTCAAGGCCCAAGCAGTAACAAGCCTCGTGTGATCCGGGAAGTACGGGCTGACTCTCTGGGGAAATTGGTGACTGTGCGTGGAATCGTCACTCGTGTCTCTGAAGTCAAACCCAGAATGGTGGTGGCTACCTACACTTGTGACCAGTGTGGGGCAGAGACCTACCAGCCGGTATGTATGGAGCAAGGAACAGGAACACACTTAACTCGGTTAGTGGTTTTTGTATGAATTTTGTGTGCTGATGTTGATCTGTCATTTTCTCTGTTGTAACAACACGTGTGTATGATTATTTTTCATTCTTTTCCTGGTATGCAGCAGTCTTCCTATCTGTTTTGTGTTCTTGGTGCCTGTCCATGTTGACCCAGAGTACTTCAAGATGTTTTTGACTGTTTCTGATATCTGCTATGAAGACGAAATGTGATTCAGGTGACCGAGACTAATTGGCTCATTCCTTTCTGACTTTCTTTAGTCCTTTCTTTCTTACATCCTAGATCCAGTCTCCCACTTTCATGCCTCTGATTATGTGCCCGAGCCAGGAGTGCCAGACCAACCGCTCAGGTGGGCGGCTATATCTACAGACACGTGGCTCCAAATTTATCAAATTTCAGGAGATGAAGATGCAAGAACATGTGAGTTTTGGGTATGTTGCCCAGGGAGGGTGGAGCTTGGGAGTCCATTCGAATACTGTACTTGTTGCTGAGTGGAAGAAAGAAAGAAAAACAGAGGTGAGGCAGAGAAGTCAGCTTGATCAGGAGGGAGGTTTGACTGAAACTTTCTGATTGAGCGAGGAAGAAGTAAAGGAGATCTCTGCTTCCCTCCTCTTATCTGAGGCTGGGTAGGCTGAAAAGTAGAAGAGTGGGATATGCTGGCAAAGGGAGTTAAGTCCTTGGGGGCCTCATGTTCTTATCTCCTTGTCTGTGCACCATTATTCCCTGTAGAGTGACCAAGTACCCGTGGGAAATATCCCTCGTAGCATTACGGTGTTGGTAGAAGGAGAGAACACACGGATTGCCCAGCCCGGGGACCACGTCAGTGTCACCGGTATCTTCTTGCCAATCTTGTGCTCTGGGTTCCGACAGGTGGTACAGGTAAGAAAGAGAGTTTAAAATGAGGAAATTCCCTTTTCTCCCTTGTCCATTCACTCTCACCACATCCTTACAGAATACTATCAACAGGAAAACAAAATAGAACAAAGGGTTTGTGAGGAACTCCTGAGGGAATCATGTGGATGGGCAAATTAAAGAGACTTCATTCATATACTGGTGTTTTTCTGTTCAAGGGTTTACTCTCAGAAACATACCTGGAAGCCCATCGGATTGTGAAGATGAATAAGAGTGAGGATGATGAGTCTGGGGCTGGAGAGCTGACCAAGGAGGAGCTGAGGCAAATAGCAGGTGAGGGGCCAGAGGGGCGACCGGGAATGTGAGTTCCTTCGTAGCACTTTTTTTTCCTAACCTTCATTTTCCCACAGAGGAGGATTTCTATGAAAAGCTGGCAGCCTCCATTGCCCCGGAAATATATGGGCATGAAGATGTAAAGAAGGCGCTGCTGCTCCTACTAGTGGGAGGTGTGGACCAGTCTCCTCGAGGCATGAAAATCAGGGGTAAGAGGAAATGAGAGGGAGGTTCAGGTAAGGGAACACATTTGGGAGAAGGAAAGGATGGCAAGAACTGATGTCCTTATAGGTCGCAAAATAAAAAAGTTGGCACCTTTGGCTTCATGGGCACGGGGAGGGATCAGAAGAAATGCTGAGTATGGGAGTAGGGGCAAACCTCAAAAGTATTTTTCTGTTGTTGGACAACTTCCATTGAAAGACTAGTCACACAGAGGCTTCCTTTCCTTATAGGCAACATCAATATCTGTCTAATGGGGGATCCTGGAGTGGCTAAGTCTCAGCTGCTATCTTACATAGATCGCCTGGCCCCCCGCAGTGAGTAATCAGACCCTGGAAGAGGTGACTGTAGAAGATAGGGATAGGACTACCCCGTGTTTATTCATTTCCTGGGGGGTTTGGAAGGTGGTGGAGAGGAGGGTTGGGGAAGGGAGGTGTTGCCAGCGCCAGTACCCCACAGATCTTGATCAGGAAGGTCTGGGTGGGTAAGGTAGAGCAGTTCAGTGCAGACCTTAACTCACTGTCCCCATTCCTTGTGTCCTGTTTTTTTCCTGACCCTGCCATTCAGGCCAGTACACAACAGGCCGAGGTTCCTCTGGAGTGGGGCTTACAGCAGCTGTGCTTAGAGACTCTGTGACTGGAGAGCTGACCTTAGAGGGTGGTGCCCTCGTGCTGGCTGACCAGGGTGTGTGCTGCATCGATGAGTTTGATAAGATGGCTGAGGCTGACCGCACAGCCATCCACGAGGTCATGGAGCAGCAGACCATCTCCATTGCTAAAGCAGGCATTTTAACTACGCTCAATGCCCGCTGCTCCATCCTGGCTGCCGCCAATCCTGCCTATGGGCGCTACAACCCTCGCCGCAGTCTGGAGCAGAACATACAGCTTCCTGCTGCACTCCTTTCCCGATTTGACCTCCTCTGGTTGATCCAGGACCGGCCCGACAGAGACAATGACCTACGGTGACTGAAACTCAACACTTGAGACATCCCTTAGAAACGATCTAAAGGGAGGGAGGGAAGAGAATTTAGAAAGCCCTCAAATTCTCTGCTTGTGGATACTGGTCCACAGTTTTTAGGAAATGGGCGGTCAGGGCTGAAACACAGATGAGGATTTCCTTGAAAAGTTTGTCCTTGCCACATTGTGAGGGAGATGGTGGAGCTGGGGGCAGTGGGTGGAGTGTCGAGTTGGAGCACAGGGCATGTATAGCATCAAAAAGTGTTTCTCCTTGCCTCCACTATTCCTAGATTGGCCCAGCATATCACCTATGTGCACCAGCACAGCCGGCAGCCTCCCGCCCAGTTTGAACCTTTGGACATGAAGCTTATGAGGTAGGAGAGCTGGGTAAGGACAGGTGTGCTCCACCAGTCACTATGTGTGGCAGTGTCTTGGGCCATGTGTGTGTCCTGAAGAGCTTTCAGTCTTAGGTCGCATATTTCACCACCACTCTGCCCTCTTCAACTGTGTCCTGGGTCTAAGAACATTGAATCTAAATAACCCCTATCCTGGCCCCACAAGAAAACACATCTGAACCAATCTTTCACACCATTAGCCTGGCCTGACTTTGGTGAGGCAGGTTCAGATTGAAGGCAAAACTGGATCCTGCTCCGTGGATACTTGATACCCCCAATTTCTCTAGAGATCTACGCGAGGCCCCCCCAGTGACCCCTCTAGTTTTTCTTCCATTACCTATTTAAACAATTTTCTCAAAGTGAACAAAATACATTTCTGCTGCTTTTAGCTATATATGTTCACAGGAGGGGACTTGGTCATCTCTGGTAAGGGGTGTATTTGTCTTATTCACGCATAGGTCATTTTCCTTAAAAGTTGGAAATAATTTGAAAAGCACCATTTAGAGAAATCCATCAGTGATATCCAAGCCACATAAATCACTAATTTTCTTTCTAAAAAGTTCCCTCTTACCCCCAAGAATTTTCTTAAAGGGGAAACTTATGCAAAAAAACCCCATATTCTTCCCATCTTCCTTTTCCGCTTTTCCCATGAACCTCTCCTGCAGACGTTATATAGCTATGTGCCAGGAGAAACAGCCTACAGTGCCAGAGTCTCTGGCAGACTATATCACAGCAGCATACGTGGAGATGAGGCGAGAGGCTTGGGCTAGTAAAGATGCCACCTATACTTCCGCCCGGACCCTGCTGGCTATCCTGCGACTGTCAACTGCCCTGGTGAGTGCCCAGTTCCTGTTCTGCTGGAGGGTGGTCTGTTTTGACTTACTGGGCAGCCTACCTTAACATCATCCTCTCGTTGCCGCCTCCTTCCCACTCCAGCCCTGCCGGGGCTAAAGTGCTGACAGTGCAGATAGTGGTCCTCTCCGTGCTACCGCACTGTGGGTACTTGCTGCTCCAGCAGGGCACGCACAGCATCCATGGAGGGAAAGGCCTTGCTTCTCAAACCTCACTGCTGGTGTGGGTGGGGTGAATTTCATTCCTTATGTCCTAAATCCTGTGTTAGAATCCTTCATTTCTGTCCTCACATCTTGGACCTTAGTCCTGGGGGCTCCAAAGTGCTGTTCGTGCAGGTAGTGTGATTACCTGACCTACTGCTGAGCTAGCACTTCCCGAGCCCCAGGGACACAACCTCTTTGTCAATCACCTGCTAGGCTGAGCTCCCCAAGCTCCATCTGTCATGGTGGGGAGCCCAGTGGAGTTCAGAAGAGTCTGGTCTCCCTCACAGGACAGCTGAACACCGGGACTGGCCAGTGTTGAGAGGCGGAGACTTGGGCAATTGCTGGACGCTGCCCTGGGCATTGCACTTGTCTCGGTCTGACAGTGCCGGCCCCACACTGCGGATGTTTGCAGGGGAGGGGAGGGGGCCTCCACTTTTTTTGTGAGTAGGCAACCCATGAGTTGCCCGGCCTTAAAGCTGAAACATGGGGGTCCCCTGACTGTTCCACTCCCCTCCTCCTGTTCCCATCTCTCCCTACCTTCCCCTTAGGCACGTCTGCGAATGGTGGACACAGTGGAGAAGGAAGATGTAAATGAAGCCATAAGGCTAATGGAGATGTCAAAGGACTCACTTCTGAGTGACAAGGGACAAACAGCTAGGTGAGTGGTTTAATGGAAGAGGAAATCAGGAGTCACCTTGACTTTCTTGAGCAGACCACTTATCCTTGTGGCTTCTGCAACCACATGTATAGGATTGCCTCAGAATTCACTTTTCTCTGACGTGTTAGGTGCTCTTGTCAGTAGCCTGACCTTACACATCCACACTTGTTTCCTTCAGGACCCAGAGACCAGCAGATGTGATATTCGCCACTGTCCGTGAGCTGGTCTCAGAGGACCGAAGTGTCCGGTTTTCTGAGGCGGAGCAGCGTTGTGTATCCCGGGGCTTCACACCTGCCCAATTCCAGGCAGCTCTAGATGAGTATGAGGAGTTAAACGTCTGGCAGGTTAATACTGCCCGGACACGAATTACTTTTGTCTGATTCCAGCCCACTTGAGACACTGGGGTCTACTCTGCATACCATGCTAAACACCGCCTTTCCTTTAAAGGGCTAGTGATGCCCTTGAGGGGAAAGGAGCACACACACACACACACTGCCCGTTTTCCTGAGCTATACTTGTTTTATACATTCCTTTTGCTAATAAAGTGTTTGTAGATTGCTGCCTTGTGGTAAAACTGGGTGTTGTACATTTTATAGATTCATATCTTACTCCTTTTGTGCTTGTCTTCCATTTACTCAACGTACTGAATAAAGTACCTACTCTACCTGCCAGATACCAAGACAGAAACTGGGAATGCAGCAAGGAATGAGAATTCCACAGTACCGACTGTTTGCATTGGATCTCCAATCCCTTGCCTGCTCCTACTCCCCTCTAGATTCAAATGTATACTGAGTCTACTGCTGTGCCTCCCCTCAGGTTCTGGGGATAACAGCTGCCAAAATGAAAGAGCCTCTAAGCCAACTCCTCCATTTCTACTCTGAAGTGCCTCCAACAGACACAAGTACTCACACCTCTAGTCCCGAACTACCACTTGAAAGCCTTGTTCAGGGGATGAAAACCAAGGACTTGGAGGGGGTAGGCACAAGTAATTGCATAGAAAATCTTCATGTTTACACCACCTGGCTTCATCTCTAAAATATGACATGGGCACTAGTACCTCTGCCTCCTAGGGCTGGCTGAGGTCCTGCCTGATGGGTCAGGCACATACTCTAGCAAGCACTCAAACATTAACAATAATTGGGAAACATCTCCCTCTTGGCAATACTCAATGCTTGCTCATAGGATCAAGGCTTTCATTTGTCCATCAGAAATGTGCTTAATACCCTTCTCCCTCCCAGTCTCCTTTGTATGTGAAAAACTAATTCAGCTTGGGAAAGCAGTCATTTGTTTACAGGGAGATGTTACAGAGCAAAACACATTGCTTAAGTGGAGGCAGGCAGCCTTTGGCTCAATATAGACAATCCACCTGACCAGGCTCGGAGTCACTTCAAGTGGCAATGAGCTCCCAGCCACTGAAAGGTGTAGAGAATAACTGATAAAATGGGACTCATGCTTCTGAGCAAGGCTGGAACCAAGGGTCTCCTTTAAGATCCAAGTTGAGAAACCTATGTGGTGCCTAACAGAGGACAGAGCCACTGGAAGGGGTGCTGAGGGGCCGCTCCCCTTTTATTAATGACAGGATTCTCTAAGGGGAGTGTAACATCTCTCCCCTTGGACAGTTTTGACCCCTGTGCATCATTTCTTCAAGTACCCTCAGAAGAAGAGCCCCCGCATCCGCCTGCCAATGCCTTGTCGGTCATAGAGGACGTTGAACTTGTTCACGAACTGGTTCATGGTGTTGCACGTTTTGGTGATGGTGCCAAGGTAGGCCATGAGCCCCACATCATTGCATTGCTGGGAGGGAACAGAAAGAACCAGTTCCCCAGGGCATCTAGGTCTCTCTCAGCATGCCCTGGGAACAGTTGAGTCCTATGTCCTGCATGCAGAAATGACAGCATAAGCCCCACCCACCATCCTGGGTTTTACACTCACATCGTAAAAGTCTGTCTTGAACTTGTCTGTGCTGAGTACCGGGAGGCAGTGACACAAAGCATAGGCTTCCCGCAGGATCTCATGATTAAAGGGAACCTCTCCTAAAGATACAGAGAGGCTGCATTAATGTAGATGCTGTCACTTCCTCAGGAGGGAGTGGAAAAGTAGGAGTGCCAGGGAGACCCCGTCCTACCTGCTTCAGAGGCTTTGACATACTCCAAGATGAGCTTGACGCGACTGTGCAGCATTTTGATGGCGCTGTGCTGTGCTATTAAGTGTTCAGCCACTGCAGAGGGACAAGAACAGGCGATGGTTGAAAAGGCTTGTGGCCACACCTTCCACCCCCACTTCCAAGTATGCCCCTCCAGCCTCCATTACCAGTGGAGTTCTCTCCACTGCCTGTTGCTGTCATTCGGGCCACATGGTCTACACCAATGCGTTCAGCTTCCTCTGTGGCCAGAGTGTACGTCAGCTCAGCAAACAGCATTGTGGCCTACAGGCACATAGGGAGAGTCAAAAGCAGGAAACATCAGGGGCAAGATCTGAGGGTTGAAGGGTAGGGCATTACCTCTCCATTGATTATATCGATGACAGACTCAAAAACACTGACAGGAAGCTGTAAAGAGATGGAGAACAGCTCATATCAAATCCACCTGAAATTATATTTACTATGTGCCAAAAACTAGGGTTGGCCCTTTCACATTGAAGGGCCAATGAAGGAGAGATTATCCCCATTTTACACGAGGAAAATGCAAGTTAATCCAAAATCACACAGCTGAAATATGGCAGAGTGGAGATTTAACTCTTAACAGAGATGTCATACAGTAAGATAGCAGGGGATGAGTATAAAGATAAGCATAGTGAGACAGCCATGACCAAATGGGCATTGGGTTAGTGTTACTCACATCCGTGTGCTTGGTCATAGGATTCAACTTAAGAAAGAGGGGGCTCTCGATTATCTCACACACCTGGAAGAGGGGGATGATGAACACAAGTGTCAATGCCTATCTTGCTGCTTGCCCTCATCCTCTATCCTCTACCCCAGCATGCACGTGTGTGAACATGTATACCTGCTTATGGACGTGGATGTCGGAGGGGTCAGGTGGCCCCCCTGTGGTATACCAACCCAGAAACTCCAGCTCCTTGAATACCTGTTTAACTGGAGAGGAAGGGGCCAGAGCACAAAGTATTTCTTTAAACCATCCTTCCTTAATTTGAAGCTCCTGATGTATTTTCATCAGCTTCTCCCCTCCCCCTCAAATCCTGGCTCAATTTAGAATGATTAATTCCTTCTCTGTCATCCTTTACTTTTGGGGAGCAGAATACCTGAATGTGTTCTTTTTCTGAGGTCTCTTCAGGTACTCTCTTCACTTTCCCAACATTCTCATCCCATGTCCTGTTTATTTTTTCCCAACCCTCTCCATCTGCCCCACTCGGCTTTTTTATTTTTCTTTTCCTCCCACTTCTATTCCCCTCTCACACTGCTCCTCCTTGGTATAATAATATTCCTTGTCAATGATAATCTTCTCTTCCACGGTGTGTGACAGCAGCTCAAAGGAGTTCATCACCTCGATATTTCGGCCCTCCTGCTTCCCGATCAGAGCCCCAATCACTGGGGAAGAAAGGACACAGAGGTGAGAGTAAGGAATCCCAAAACCTACCTAATCATTACAGCCTGAGGATCTGAGGTCAATGTAAACCAAGTACTGGGGAAATGGTGATTTGACCGAGGAAGAACTATCTTCAGGAAAGGAAGGAGAAAAGACCACCATTTAGTGGAGGTGACCAAGGAAGAGAAGGTTGCAGAATTAGGCTGAACACTCACCCTGCATAGGCCGCCCCTCCTGGGAGCGCATGCGAATCCAATGGTCTGAGATATTGAGAATGACCAGGGGATGAAGAGCGACTGAAACACTCCCAGTCACTCCGGAGGCCATCACGCTGGGGACTACTAAGGGTGGAGGGAAAGGAAGGAGTGAGAGTCCAGGCCCCACGCCCTTCCCAGGAGATGGGGAGTAGGAGATGGCAGAGCCCGGGCCATACATCCTTCCCTCAAGTTATCCCAGGGAGCCGTGTTACCGTCCACCCTCCTGACTTCTCCTGGGATCCAGGAAGGCGGCCTTAACGCACCTCGAAGGCCGTCTCCAGAAGCCGCCCCTATGAGACCCGTTACCTGCTGCATCCACCTCCATCCCGCTGCTCCCCCCAGTCCCGTTCGCCGCCGCTGCAGCCGCCGCCGCCATTTTCCCCGCGCCCGACGGCCTTGGCCCCGCCCCCTCCCGGCTTCCGTCCGGGGTGACGCATGCGCAGCGTCCCCGGGGCGCGTGCCTGCTCTGTCGCGGGGCAACGGTTGTCCCCGCCTGGTCTCGGCTCGCAGCCTTCCGGCGGCAAAAGTCCGAGCCCCGCATGGCCCTGAAGCCGACAGATTTTCGTAGACCCTGACCCAGCCTCTCGTCTGCGGCTGACCTTGAACAAATTACTTAACCCTACCCCAACCTTTCCGTCTTCGTCAACAGAATTCGAATAAGATTGCCTAGTTCCTAAATCTATTGCAGAATGAATGAAATGTCATGTTATTGCCCTCAGAATAAAATCCAAGCTGCTAACCATGGACTGCAAGGCCCTGTACGATTCGTTCGGCCCCTGCTTGTCAGCGGGCCCTGGCCTTTTCTGCCCCCTGGTCCCCATGTTTCAGCCACATTAGCCATCACATCTGTTCTTTTCACACGCCCTACTCACTCTTAAGGGCCTTCTGTCATGTTCATCATTATAACCCCTAAGACCAACACGGTACCTAACACTCGGGTACCTAAATAATTTTTGAGTAAATGGATGAGTAGTTTGGGGTAGAGCCCGGTCTGAGTGTCCTATGTTCCCCTCCTTCCAAATAATGGTATTACTAACAGTACTAGGAGCATCCCCAGCATTTCCTAATCCCTTCCACCCACCCTGTACTCTCCATGTCCATAAATCTCACCTCTGGCAAAGAGACCACTTCAGCCCTCTCCCTACTCCTACATGTAAGCAAATTGTGTACACTGCCTTCACCCCTTCTCCTGCTGCCCCGACATGTCTGGCTGGCCCTTTTAATATGTGTCTGTTCCCCACCCAAAATGTAAGCTCTAGAAAGCATGTAGAGACCTGTTTCTTGACCTTGCAGAGCCTACTCTGTTGCCCAGGACTAGCAGATACCGGATATGTTTTCTAGTGATAATGATAACTTATGAGAATTAAGCAACCTCTCCATTTAGGAGCCTGGATAAAGGAAAGTTGAAGGGCCAGCAACCCTTAAAGGAAGGGACCTAAGAAATCTTGCAGGGAGAGAGATCTTCTCGCCAAGGGGTAGTTAAGAAAGAGTTTATCTCACTCTAATCCCCAGTGAAAAAACCTTCCAGCCAATTGAGGCGGTTATGGAGAAAAGCATATAGGCCATTTTAGGGAAAATGAGGTCAGAAAAATCTATCTCTTTCACATGATAGGAAGCTTTTAAGGAGTTTCTCAGTTAGATTGAAGGCTAAAATAAAGACAAGAATTATTCTGAGGTTAATAAAGTTGACAGTTTGTGTTGCTATTTCACACATTAAAGTACTCCTTTGTCTTTTTGTTGTTTCAAATGCTTTTGAAACTGCTCAGATAATTATA